TCTCTCTCTCTCTCTCTAAAACAAACTACAGTAATGTGAAGGAGAACGGCTCCCATATAGGCTCATAGCTTTGATTACTTGATCCCCAGTTGGTAGAACTGATTGAGAGGATTAGGAGGTGTGGCCTTGTTGGGGTAGGTATGTCTCTGGGAGTTGGCTTGGAGGTTTCAAAAGACTCATGCCACTCCCAGTATGTTCTCTGCTTCTGTTTGTGGGTTTAGATATGAGTTCTCAACAGCTGGTCCATGCTGTCATAATCCTGCCATGATGATGATGGACTCTTACCCTCTGGAACTGCAAACCTCAAATAAACCCTTTCTTCTATAAGTTGCCTTGGCCACAGTGTTTTGTCACAGCAATAAAAAAGGAACTAATGCAAAAAAAAAAAACACAGAAAAATAGAAAAATGTTGATATATATGGGACCATGTTACTAGCTGGCTTCAGATCTCCATCCCTCCCTATGTCCAGGCTTTCTGTCAATTTTACAGTACCTTACCATGGAGGACAAGATAGATAGTCACCTCCCCTTTTCTGATTATTTATTTTTTCTTTGCTTTGTTTTGTTTTGGGGTTATGGTCTCACTGTCACTCAAGCTGGCCTAGAAGTCACTATTACAGATAAGACTGTCGTTTAATTTGTGGCAATCCTCCTGCCTCTGATTCCTGGGTGCTAAAATTACAGGCACATGTAACCACAACTGGTCCATGTATTATATTTTGATCAATGAGTTATCAATATATATGATGCAACCAAAAACTTTAAAATTTCATGCCTGGCCCAGAGGTTGGTGTTATATGCCCTTAATCTCAGCACTCAAGAGCAGAAGCAGGCAAATTTCTATGAATTAGAGGCCAGCCTAGTCTACAGAGTGAGCTCCAGGATAACTAGAGCTATTTCACAGAAAAACTCTGTCTCCAAACACCAAAAAGAAAGAAAAAATGTCACCTCTTTACGTTTGATGTCTAGTATGCTTCTCCCATTCCTAGAGGAACAACATGCTTAAATTAGGCCCCTGATGCAGGAGGATGACAGCCATGTAGCAGGGGGCCTATCTAGATTAGTAAACCCAGGTTGCTCCTGAAGGCACAAATGAGTCAGTGAAACTGGTACAATGACTAGTCATGTCCACACAGACCAGCTGGTCTCTAGCTTATAAGAAAGTGTGACCCGAGTTCATTTTGTGGTTGTTTTAAGTAACTGGGTTTTGGAGTGGTTTGTTAAATAACCTCCTGTTTTGTTTTATATTTTGAGACAGGAAGGGTCTCACTCTGTAGCTCTGTCTGTACTAGACCAGCCTGACCTTAAAGTCACAGAGCTCCACCCACCTCTACTCCTCAATTACCGGGATTAAAGACTGCACCACCATGCCTTGCCAGGATATTTTTGTGGCAATGGTTATTATATATAATATCTAAAAGTTTGAAAGAAAAGTGGGAGAAACTGTAAGATATGGCCCATATGTGAATAGAAAAGACTTGTGGTTAAAATGGCAGATTGATCATTTGTTCTGGTCTTCATTTATCCAGACCCCTCTTTGAAATGACAATACATAAGTATCAGAATAAAAGAACAGATTTTAACAAAAATATTTTCTTAAAGTTTTAACCTCTATTTTTATTTTATATGTATGGATGCTCTGCCTGCACTTATGACTGTGTACCATGTGTGAACAGTACTTGTAAAGGCTAGAAGAGAACACTGGATCCCTTAGGGCTAGAGTTACAGATGGTTGAGATGCCGTGTGTGCTACCCAGGCAGAGCTCTGTGAGTTCAAGGTTATGCTGGTCTACAGAGCAAGTTCCAGGTCAGCCAGGGATATACAGTGAGACCCTGTCTCAAAACAAACAAGCAAAATGGTTCAAATTCTATCTCAGAAAAAAGGTAGGAGAGCTGGGTAATGGTGGCGCAAGCCTTTAATCCCAGAATTTGGGAGGCAGAGGCAGGTGAGTTTGAGGCTTGCCTGGTTCAAGGTAGGAGGCGAGAACTAACTACAGAGTTGTCTTCTGCCCTACACACATGTACCATGGCATATGCATCCCCATGAACACACAAAGTATTGCTCCAAAGAAGCTGAACTAACCAGAAGTGATGGCACCAGCTCTAGGGAGGTGGTGGCAGGAGCTTGTAGTCAAAACAAAACAGCCTGGCTCAAAACAACAAAGGCTGGCCTTAACACTGTACAGTACTTCTCCTACTTAAAGTCAGCTAAACTGAGAGAAGATAACAGCTGACCTAGGGTTATGGAAGACTGACATTCTCATTATAATTCTTTTGAAACATTTTTAAAAAGACTATGTCAACAGTGATTCTCTGAGTAATAGATATTTTAGGACTAACTATTTTTTTCTCGGCTTAGCTCCATTTTCTAAAAGATTATTAATAAAAAATAATCGTTTATTATTTGTGTGTAATTTCTAAAAATATTGTATTTTTTTCTTTATTTTTGAGTCAAATTCTTGCTATACAACATAGGCTGGCCTTGAATTCCTTATCCTCTTGGTTTAAGCTCCCAGCTGTTGGGATTATAGGTATGTGCTACTACCATGTGCAGTTTATGCTGCTTAAAAGAAAAGAAAAATCTGAACATAGGTGTAATAAAGTCCTGCCTATTTTATACTCTTCTTGGGCGCCTTACCTTTCATTGTGGTCAAAATGAAGAAAGCAATGAGGGTGTTGTTGATGGCGCAGGTAGACTTGGCAACACAAGACAGGATTGTATAGGGATTCAGGAGGTAGCTGGGGAAAACACACATATTTGTCATTAGTAAACCTGATCAATGGACCAGAGAGTCCTGGTCACCACAGCCATGACGTTCAACTCATTTACAAAAAGGAAGAAACTCCTTAAAAATGAGTTATCGCACATACGAGAGGCTAGTGGGGCTTAGGTGTCAGTGAGCAAAGGCATTCGACATTACGCTATGGACAAGGCACTCAACATCGCGCTATGGGCAAGGCACTCGGCACCACGCTATGGGCAAGGCACTCGACATCACTCTATGGACAAGGCACTCGGCACCACGCTATGGGCAAGGCACTCGACATCACGCTATGGACAAGGCACTCGACATCGCGCTATGGACAAGGCACTCGACATCACGCTATGGGCACATTCAAAGCCACCACATTTCCATATAATAATAACAAAGATCCTATATACTAACAAAAACATTCCAGTTTCGTTTCATTTTTAGTGGGTTTTTTTTTTTGTGGTTCTATTTTGGTTTGTTAGGGCTTTTTTTTTTGGAGTTTGGTTTTGTTTTTTTTTCAGGGTGAGGTTGAAGTTTATTCAGGGGTTATGGAGGAGGAAGGGTGAAGGGGGGACAGAGAGAGAGGGAGAGGGAGAGAGGGAGAGAGAGAGAAGAGGAGAAAGAGACAGAGAAGGGGGGAAGCAGCAAAGTGGGCTGTTTTTTGTTTTTTGTTTTGTTTTATTTCCAAGACAGGGTTTCTCTGTGTAGCTTTGGTGCCTGTCCTGGAACTAGCTCTTGTAGACCAGGCCTGCCTTGAACTCAGAGATTCGCCTGCCTCTGCCTCCCTAGTGCTGGGATTAAAGGCCTGTGCCACTACCAGAGGCCAGGCTAATGTTTTGTTTTTGAGACAGGGTCTCCACAGCCCAACCCGGCCTTGAACTCTAAGCAGCTGTGAATGACCCTCCTCCAGCTTCCACTCCCAAGTGCTGGGAGGACAGGTGGACCATCTGGTCCAGGAGCATTATCTTACTTTTGCATACAAGGAAACTTAGATTCAGTTATTAACTTGCCCAAGTTTTTACAAGCTATTAAATATATGCAAAAATCTTCCTAGTTCTAAAGCCAACATTCTCTCTATGAAGCCCTCTTTGTAGTCAGCAGTATCCCCTGACTCAGACCATGAACAATGTATCCTCTAAATTCTACAAGTTATCTGGCATAGAACTCCACAGGACCTTGACAGACCATTAGGGAAAAGTTAAGCTGGGGTCCTTTCCCCTAAAGTAGGAAGGAATGGAATCAGAAAACGAATCTGAAGTGCTTTGAGTTGGAAAGTCTTACTTAGTCAGTGAGGATTCTTTTTATTTATTTCTGTCCTGCTTCTACAAAAGATTTGCATCTGCTAAAATGAGAACAAATAAATAAAATAGTAAAGAAGTAAAACCAGTCATAATCAAGACCAGGGGAAATACAGAAGAAGAAAAGGTAAAGACAGAGTTAGGAAAACCAAAGAACTAGAGCAGTACAATATCAGCCTCAGACAGACTACAACTGCACAACAACCAGCCTCAGACAGACTGCAGCTGTACAACAACCAGCCTCAGACAGACTACAGATGTACAATAACCAGCCTCAGACAGACTACAGCTGCACATATCAGCCTCAGACAGACTACAGATGTACAATAACCAGCCTCAGACAGACTACAGATGTACAATAACCAGCCTCAGACATGGCTGAGTTTCCTGACAGACAAAGGAAGAAAGGTCAGTTACATAATTCTGATTGACAGGAAGAAACACACCAGTATCTTAGAAAAAGATAATTATTCTCAAATAATGACCTTAAATCTAATTCTACCTCATAGGAATATAAGATTAGTAGTTCTAAAACCAAAGGCCTAGAAACTTTTGGGGTTTGGTGGTTTTTTTCTTTTGTTTGTTTTTCCCAGCAGTCAGATAGACATGTTACACAACCTTTACAAAAATGGCTGCAGCTATTATGAAACTACCCTCAGGGGACACAAGAGTCCATAAGGATTCATTATGTTGCTAAACCTTTGGTCCTATTAAAGTAGCTCCCATCAAATTTCTGAAATTTGTAGTTGAGAGCTGATATACCAAAATTATCTCATAGGAAAAAAATTCACAAAACCATTTTAAGTAGTGGGTGACATTGAAAAAGCAGCTGCTCAGACATCTACCTGGAATTCTGAATAGGAAATTCATACACAGGGCAAAGGCTCCTAAAAACCCCATTCCCCAGGATAGAATCTAAAATGACCTAAACTGGCTTCAAATTCATTACGTAGGTGAAGCTGATCTTGAACTTCTGGTCCTCCTGCCTCTTTCCAAAGTGGTGGGGTTACAGACAAGCACCACCCCGCCCAGAACATCTGGTCCTGGGGACCAAAACCAGGGCTTTGTATGTGCTATGCAAGCCCCCTAACCAACTGAGCTCCCTCTGCAGCCCCTTGACTTCTGATATGCAATAAAGCTACAAAGCACAGATTAGCTTCAAACTAAGCAATCCTTCTGCCTTAGGCCCCCTGAGGCTGGGATGCCCAGATCCTAATTCTAAAGAATTCTATGGGCATGCTTTTCTGTGAGAAAATGTATGTTTTGTTCCATGTGTGTTCCGAGAAGTTAGCATGTTATTCATATCTGATGACTGCTGGTTGGTTGAATAATCCACTTCACTTATCTCAGAGACACAAAGGGGAATAACCTGAGAGACCCACACTCACTGGCATTGATAACTACTCCTACAGAATTCTTTCTTAAAGTATTGGCGGGTCTCACTCTTCCAGCTGGGCACCTAGCCCAGACGGGTATTTTACTTCAGTTTTCTAAATTAGAAACAGGGATTAAAGCGTACAGGAAATATAGAAGCTGTGTGAAACAACCGCCAGATGAAGACCAGAATTTCATACAATACACCAGTAATGAAGAACTACCACTTTTTAGAAACACTAGTTCCAAGCAGGTTCCAGCCCAGATCAGCACTGAGTCAGAAAGCCTTTGTGAAGGGTTTGATTGTGCATGCCCTTGTGTGAGTCTTTCTCATCAGAGACAGAGTGGCTCTGTGTCTTTCGCTGGTCAAAACGCCAGTTGTGCAAGAGAACTACAGCAAATACATGCTGACTAAGACCACAGATCCCTAAAACGACAACATGGGAAAGTCTCATCACATTTTCCTTGCATGTGTTGGCTCTGAGCTCTGAATTGTAAGGGAATACTTACAACAGGGCCACTTTCAGAGGGATGTATCGCATTTCCATGGGGGTCCGGATGAGTTCGGCCACATCTGGGGCATACTGGTCCAGTTCTAGGAGGAGTTTCTGTTTTTTAAACTAGAAGTGGGGGAGGGTGCACAAGACACACAAAACAAATGATTTGCCAATGTTTTAGGATGAAGAAAAAAACCTTTGCCCTGGCCACATACCACTGTCTGCCCTACCCTACTTCTCCAGGGCCCTCTCATACTCGCTCCTCCACCCTACCCGCACCGAGTTCTAGCACATGAACAGACAATGCTCCTCATGCTCCCAGAACTCTCCCCTAGTTAGCACCCACACAGCCTGCAGACCTCAGCTCAGTCCTCCCTCTCTTGAAGGACACACAGTCCTTTAGCTGCCTGCTATACTAGCTCACAGCTCTAGGTCTTGCCCTCCTGTGTTAACTGATGAGGGCCCGGCTCCTCCCTAGAGAGTGAGTTCCACAAGGGTTTGGGTACTTTATTTGCTCTCTGTGTAGGCCTAACACTTAGCACAGTGGGCAAACAATGACTGAAGGTATGGCAAAGCCACTTCTTAGTCATTCCGGGAGGTGACATCAGTGGTGGCAGGGCTTCAAAGCACTATCAGCAAGACGTGTCCCAGCAGTTGCAATGACCTGGATGCATGTTATCTCAGGCTCCCTTCCTCATTCTTCTGTTTCAAAGGTGTGTTTGGTTGGTTTCTTTCATAGCTCCACAGAGGAGGCGTGAAATAGGAAGGAGACTGGTGTGGCTGGGGAGCTGGAGTTCAGAGGCAGTCACACGGGTGGAAAGCTCTCTGCTTCCCTTGTGTATCCCAACAAATTCAGGGCTTGGGTTCTAAAAGGGAACCCCTCATCACAACAAAGGGCAGATTAGGCCAAGGTCATATGTCACAGGCTAACAGCTGAGGAGAGGGTGGGTGGGAAGTCCCCTCAGCAGCAGTTTTCCAGGATGCTGTGTACACTAGAGGGATAGAGTCTCAAGGCCTACCAAGACTAAACATTTGCAGACTATAGCGTAAGGATCCTTTTGACACATGAAGATTTTTTTTCCTCCAAGATAGGGTTTCTCTGTAGCTTTGGAGCCTGTCCTGGAACTAGCTCTTGTAGACCAGGCTGGCTTCGAGCTCACAGAGATCCACCTGCCTCTGCCTCCCAAGTGCTGGGATTAAAGGTGTGCGCCACCACCGCCCGGCCAAATGAAGACTTTTTAAAAATTATTTTTATTTATTCTTTGATAATTTCAGATATGCATATAATGATAATTTTGATCATGGTCATTTCCCATTGCTCTCTTATCTACTTCTCACTCCTGCTCTACACTGTTCCATTTTCTTTTATGTTTTTTTAAATATTTATTTATTCTTTTATGTTTATGGGTGTTTTGCTGGCATGTGTCTGTGCACCACCTGAGTCCTTGGTGCCCATTAAGACCAAAAGAGGGCTTTGGATCCCCTAGAACTAGAGTTTTGAATAGATGTGAGCTGCCATGTGGGTGCTGGGAATTAAACCTGGGTTCTCTGGAAGATCAATCAGTGCTCTTAACCACTGAGCCATCCAGATCTAATTTTTTGTTTTGTTTGTTTGAGACAGGGTTTCTGTTGTGGGAATTCATTCCGCCAATAGTCACACATCAGGTTTCTCTATGTAACAACGCTGGCTGTCCTGGAACTCACTCTGTAGACCAGGCTGACCTGGAAATCATAGAGATCTGCCTGCCTCTGCCTCTCGAGTGCTGGAACTAAAGGTGTACACCACCACCAACCGGCAACCTTTCTATTTTCATGTGTCTGTGTGTATGTGTGTATGTGTGTGTGTGAGAGAGAGAGAGAGAGACAGAGAGAGACAGAGAGAGACAGAGACAGACCAAGAGACAAAAGACAAAGAGAGAGACCAGTTGTAGGGAGACCAGTTAGAGACAGAGAGACAAAGACCAATTGAGTTTAATTAGGGTTGCTTGCATGAGCACGGGAAGGAGGCATTATATACTGGAGCACAGACAACTTACTTCAGGAACACTACTGAAGAGAATGATTCTCCCTCCTTTACAAAGTAGAGCCTTTTAGTAGAGGAATGCATGTGCTGACATTCTACCTAAATTAATAGTAGTATGTAGTATGATTTTAGATGTGGTAGCATACACCTGCAATCCTAGGACCCGGGAGGTTGAAGAAAGGTCACGAGTGAGAGGTCAATCAGGGCTACATAATTAGTTCTAGGACAGTCTGAACTACATATGGAGACTCAGTCTCAAAAAATAACAGGGCCAAGAAGAGTGCTCAGAAAGTAAAGGAGCTTGCTATCAAGCCAAATGACCTGAGTTCAATCCCTGAGATCAACACAGTGGAATAAGAGAACCAATCCCTGCAAGTTTTACTCTACATGTGTGTACCATAGCACGTGTACACACATAATAAACAAATAATGAAGTAACAAAGGCATGGAGTGTACCTCAGTAGTAGACTGCCTCACAAGCATAAGGCTCTGGGTTTTATCCTAAACACTGGAAAAAGAAAAAATAAAGAGTAGTATATGATGTGATATTAGCACTAAGAGCGGCTACTTTCAGCATTCATATGGGGGTGAAACATACCCCTAATCCCAGTACTCAAGGTGCTGAATCAGTGGCCAGGTGGTGGTGGCACACACCTTTAATCCCATCACTCGGGGAGGCAGAGACAGGTGAGTCTCTGGGTTCGATGTCAGGCCAGTTTGGTTTAAAGAACAAGTTCCAGGACAGCCAGGGCTACACAGAGAAACGCTGTTCCGGCAAGGGGGGAAAAAAGAGGCTGAATCAGGAGAATCACAAAATCTAGGTCCACTTGAGTGAGCTATGCACCAAGACCCTGTCCAAAACATACAAACAAAAAGGTTGGGAATATAGTTCAATCATAGAGCACTGGTACTGAGTGTGATTTCCAGCACTACAAAAACAAAAGGAAATATATTAATAAATAAATAGCTGGCATTCAAAATGAGTTCATGTGTGACATAGTGTAAGTAAAAGTCACTCTAAGAGTCAATGTCATAATAATCTGAATTTTAGAAATAGGGAAACAAAAATATTTTAAATTTTAATTCAGTCTTGGGGATAAGAGAACCTTGGGTACACTAAGAAATAACACAGTTAGCTGGGCACAGTGGCATGTGCCTATACCCCTAGCACTTGGGAGTGATAGGACCATTAGAAGGTCACTAAGTTGCACCCTCCTCCTACCCTGTCCTAACTCAGTGGCTCCCAGCCACACAAGGAGGATGGTAGCCGACTTTTGTTTTCATAACTATGTACATAGTATACATGGTTTATCTATTAATCCTCCCAGAGGCTTAAAGAGGAGAATGATCCCATGATGCAATTCTCCTTAGCTATTACATAATTAAGAATAAACTTTACACTGGCTGGTGGTGGCACACACTTTTAATCTCAGCACTTGGGAGGCAAAGGCAGGCAGATCTGAGTTTGAGGCCAGCCTGTCTACATGGTAAGTTCCAGGACAGCCAGGGCTATGCAGAGAAATTCTGGCTTGAAAAAAACAAAGACAAGTAAACAAGCTACACACACCAAAAACTAATAAACTTTACATAAATACGTCTTTAGATTTGCTTGTCTGTATGCAGGAACTCACATGAGCCGTGAAGTGCTGACGGAGGTCAGAAGACAACTGCTCGAGCCAGCCCTCTTCGTCCACCATGTGGTTCCAGGGTTTGGCAGCAAGCATGTTTACTGACCAGGCAATCTTGCCAACCCAATATGCCAAAATTTCTAATTAAGATTGGTCTTTTAGGTCTGGGGGTGTGGGATGCAGCTCAGTGGTATGGCGCTTGCCTGGCATTTTCCAAGGCCCTGGGCTCAATCTCCAACCTCCAAATTCCTCTCTGAAGGAAAACAGATTTATCAACACCGGGAATCCAATTCTACTTCAAGAAGCCTCAAATAGTGAGATAAAGACTATATTCATTTTTCCTTTGAAAAAATAAACTAACAAAAGGGAAAGCCTTTACATTTTTATTTTTGATAGTGTGCCATTATGCCCAGGCTGGCCACAAACTAGTGTGGACTAGAGAATGACCCTGTACTCCTCATACAGCCTGACCTCCCAAGTGCCAGGATCTTAGATGTGAGCTAATACAGCCACGCCCTTTCCTATTTATTTATTTTATATTGTATTTGAGGTGTGTGTGTGTGGTGCACATGTCAGAGGATAACGTTCAGGAATCATTTCTCCTCGTCCACTATGTTGGCCCAGGTCATCAGGCTTGCTGGGAAGTACCTTTATCCATGAGCCATCTCACCAGCCCCACTTAACTATTTTAAAATAGTTGGATCTTTAAGTACATGACTTTTGATCCATTGCCATAATAAGTACATTACCAAATCCCCCAGCTTTGTCCTACCCACTAATGACTTACCACAACTTTATTGAAGTCCTGAATTGCAAAATACAGGGCAATAGCAGTGAGGGCATCTGTTATCTGTCAAGAGAGAGAGAAGTAACGGAGAGTACAGGAGTAATACAAAGTACAGTTGGTACAGGGTACTGGAATGCTGCCAGGCCTGAAGAGCTCTGGGATGGTACTGGGTTAACTGTCCAGCACCATACTCACATGTGGCCAAGGCCTACTAAGGAAGGTATGACAGAAAACCCATATATTATGATCCATTCCATCTGGAAGCCTATATCTCTTAGACCAGCAAGTTAAATGAAAATAAGCCAGGCATTGTGGCTGGAGAACTCCCATGAGTTCAAAATCAGCCTAGGTCACACAGTGAGACCTTGTCTCAAAAATATGAAACAAACAAAGATACACACACACACACACACACACACACACACACACTTAAGGGGGAACAATATCCACTGACCTATAGGCTTCAGGTATGTCTAGCACCTCATACATGGTAAGCCCTCAGCAAAGAGTAGCCATTATAATTAAGGAAGACTTCAGGATGTCTTATGCTATCCTGACCTAGATTTCCAACTCTGTTGACAAATGTTTCAGGATGCTCTGTTCCTGTCATCTCAATCTTCAATCCTTGTCCTTGAAAGCCTCTTCAGCTCCCCTCAGAATCTCTTGGCAGAATGCTTAGGAAACTCAGGTTGCCCTCCAAACTGGCACAGTTAACGTCAACCACAGAATCTTGGGGTTAGAAAATTGAAGACTACATAGTCCAGAGACCAAAGAATAAGAAAGTAGAACTGGTCACAAGTTCCCGCCTGCTTCTTATACTCTATAATACCATCCCAAAGCCAGGCTCCAAGCTAAAGACATTGTCTTGGCTTTTATTTTCTCAGAAATTCTGGTTTTCTGTTTTTTTCCTTTCTTTTTCTTTCTTATACTCAGGGTCTCACAATGCAGCCCTGGCTGGCCTGGAACCTGCTATGTAGACCAGGCTGGCCTCAAATTCACAAAGATCCACGTCCCTCTGCCTCCTACATGCTACCCAGCTCCTTATTTTCTTAAAAACAAACTGTAAAATTAAAAATATATACATATATTTATTTTCTCTGGAAAGATACTTACCATAAATACCAATTCTGCATAGTCAATTAGGAAATGAAAGAGGTATATTATCAATGGAGTCTGTGGGAGAAAAACAAAGAGGAAAAAATTAAGTCAAATCTTGGTATAAATGATCAGTTTCCAGATTGGGAATGGGAAAAAACTTACTCTGCCAAGAAATCTGATCCTTCCTGCAACAGCTACCGGTACTAACTGAACAACTTAGTATCCTGAATCACAGGGCATTGCTGAAACGATCAGTTGAACATAGTGGAGGAAATAACAAAACGTGAGGTTAGCTAGCTCTCTGCTTGGCATGCTTGGCTTGGGGTTCCTGCCTGCAGTAGATACTCAAAAGGCTGAAATGAGAGTAAATTGAACCTAGGAATTCGGGGCCAGACTGGGCACTTCAATTTACTTTACTTGAAAAAATAAATGGGAGCTGATGATGTAGCTCAGTTTGTAGGATGTTTGCTTAGGATGCATGAATTTCTGGGGCTGGTCTCCAGAACTCCCAAAAACCCAGGGGAGTTCTGCTTATAATCCTGCTTATAATCCCAGGACCTGAAGTGCAAAGGAAAGGAGGGCAGAAGTTCAAAGTCATCTTGTCTACAGCAAGTCCCATGCTAGTCAGGCTATGTGAGATCCTGCCTCAAAAAAAAAGTAAATGAAAAGATAAAATGGGGGTGGGGGGGACGCCTCATAGAGGACCAATATTGTTGAATGAACAAATGAGGACTTTTTCATTTCTTTATTCTTTTTGTTTGTTTGTTTGAGACGGGTTACTCTGTAGCTGTCCTAGAACTCACTTTGTAGACCAGGCTAGCCTCACAAGTGCTGGGATTAAAGGCATGTGCCACCACCACCTGGCTCCTTTATTCTCTGATAAATTTGTATAAAAATGTTAATTCTTCCTCAGAGGCCCAGGGAGAAACCCACATGGTGATGCTTGCTATAACTCCAGCACTTAGGCTGATGTACAATGGAAAGTTCAAGACCAATACTGCAGAATACTCACGGGGAAAAAGGTTTTTGAGAAAATTCACTCACTGTGAAAAACTAATCTTGGCCTGAAGTTTTTTCCTTTGTTTTTAAATGTTCTTGAAAGCCTATCACTCTAATGAAATGAACTTTGCCATCTCTAATGATATTTTTTGCTTCAGAGTCAATTGCTTTTATTTTTTTTAAATATTTATTTATTATTTATTATGTATACAATGGTCTATCTGTGTGTATGCTGAAGGCCAGAAGAGGGCACCAGACCCCATCACAGATGGTTTAAGCCACCATGTGGTTGCAGGGAATTGAACTCAGGACCTCTGGTGGAACAGGCAATGCTCCTAACCACTGAGCCATCTCTCCAGCCCTTATTGCTTTTATTTCAAAACCATAAGCATAAGCACCTGGGCTGGAGAGATGACTCAGTGGTTAAGACTATGACTTCCAGAGGACTCAGGTTCAGTTCCCAACACCCACATTATAACTAAGAACTCTCTGTGACTCAGTTCTAGAGAATTCAACACCCTCTTCTAGCCTCTATGCGAGCTGCACACATGTGGTATACAGATATATATGCAGGCAAGACACCCATAAACATAATATAAAAATAAATACATCTCAAAATTCACGTTCTTATAAACCTAGCACACAGGAGGCAGCAGCATGATGGATCAGGAATTTAAGACCATCCCCAGTTATATAGAGGCCAGCCTGTTTTAAAAGAAAAATAAAAGGGGCAGAGAGGAAAGAAAGACAGACAGACTGACTGACAGACAAATACTATAAAACCAGAGTCTGCATCTTACATTGTTTGTTTGTTGTTAGTTTTTCGAGACAGGGTTTCTTTGTATAGACCCAACTGTCCTGGAACTTACTCTGTAGACCAGGCTGGCCTCAAACTCAGAGATCCACCGGTCTCTGCTTCCTAAATGCTGGGATTAAAAGTGTGCGCCACCACACCTGGTAGATGAGAGGTAAATTTAAGAGTGGGATATGAGCCATGAAAGGGACAAGATTCCTCGGGTGATGAAGTTAGAGTGTTTGACTTAGTCTAAAGTGATGCTGGATGCTTTTCTGGAGAAGGTAAAATCTAAGCTGTGTCTCACTAATAGAGCCAAGCACAAAAAGGGGAAGATTGGCTTCTACAGGAGACAACAGCATGAGCAAGATGTCATACAGAAAACGGTACAGGAAAGCTATGACTTAAAGCACACCCGAGGCCCACTTCACAATGGTCCTTGGGGCTAATGGGCTACTATGTGGGTATCAAACACATCTATTCCCAGTAACTGCCTGTGTCCTTAAGAAAAGGAACGGAGGGCCGGGTGGTGGTGGTGCATGCCTTTAATCCCAGCACTCGGGAGGCAGAGGCAGGAGATCTCTGTGAGTTCGAGGCCAGCCTGGTCTACAAGAGCTAGTTCCAGGACAGGAACCAAAAAAGCTACGGAGAAACCCTGTCTCAAAGAGAGAGAGAGAGAGAGAGAGAGAGAGAGAGAGAGNAGAGAGAGAAAAGGAAGGGGGGGGAGGGAGGGTGAAGAGAAAAAAAGGTGATCAGAAACACCTGCATGTGAGAGCTCTGAAGCTCCTCCAAGTGCCTGGGTTCTAAGCCTGAGGTTAGGGGCAAATAGAGGTGCCAAGCACAACAGTGACAAATCAAGATTCACACTTTAGAGAAATGTCCCTGACTGCAGAATAAATGAGCAAGACTGAACCAGAAAAAAACTTAACAAGAAAGCTGTTACAGCAATCCAAGGGACAGGTGACAATAACCAAAGGGTATGTTTTGGCATTTTGAGATAGAGTCAGTCTCATAAAGCCCAGGCATGGGCAGGCCTTGAATTCATGGCAGCCCTCCTGCCTTGGCCTCTGGAAAGCTGGGGTTACAGTGTGAGCCTCCATACCTGATGTGGGAGAGTCTTCTGTTTTGTGTTGATTTCACTGGTTAATAAATTGCCTTGGCCCTTTAATAGGACAGAAAATTAGGTAGGCAGAGTAGACAGACAGAATGCTGGGAGAAAGAAGCTGAGTCAGGCAGTTGCCATGATTTTCCTCTCCGAGACAGATGCAGGTTAAGATCTTTCCTGGTAAGCTACCACCTCGTGGTGCTACACAGATTATTAGAAATGGGTTAATCAAGATGTGAGAGTTAGCCAATAAGAGGCTGGAACTAATGGGCCAGGCAGTGTTTAAAAGAATACAGTTTGTGTGTTGTTATTTCGGGTAGGAAGCTAGCCGTGCAGGAGCTGGGCGGGACACAGCCCGCAGCTCCTTACTACACATACCTAGCTAGCTTTTACTAGTCTTAAAGCCTCATTTTTAGGAGCCAGGCATGGTGGCACACATCTTTAATTCCAGCACTCAGGAGGTAGAAACAGGCAGATCTCTGTGAGTTTGAAGCCAGCCTGTTCTACAGAGTGAGTTCCAGGACAGTGGGGGTTGTTACATAGAGAAACCCTGTCTCAGAAAAAAAAAAAAAAACAATAATAATTTCTATAGAAGCCTCATATAGTCCCCCAAGCCAGCAAGATAAACGTACTGGCTGCATAAGCCTGACAAGGTGGGCATGGTCCCCAAATTCACAGAAAGCCGGTTGCATCTGGAATCTCAGCACTCCTAACAGAAGTACCCAGAATCTTCACGGCCAGCTAGGCTGGTGTATGGAGACCCTTCCTCAACAGTGTGAGAGAACGGACTCCTGAGAGTTGTTTCTCCCTCCCCTCCCCTCCCCTCCCCCCCCTCTCTGTGTCTCTCTCTCTCTGTCTCTGTCTCTCTCTCCCCCCTCCCCTCCCCCCCCTCCCCCCCCCCCCCCCCCCCCCCCCCTCTCTGTGTCTCTCTCTCTCTGTCTCTCTCTCTCTCTCTCTCTCTCTCTCTCTCTCTCTCTCTCTCTCTCTCCTTTCTTCCCAACTCTTTAAATTCCGAACTGGATCACTGTCCCTGATTGTGAAACTACTTTCTTACACAGAGCATGTCACCAAGAGGGCTATTCCTATCAAAAAAAAGATCCTTTTAAATGTCTGTACCAAACAGCTCAGGCTCTGGTATCCATGGCTATGAATTACTCATAGTGCCAGGAAAGAAAACACAACACTTACTTCATGAAATACTGCTCCAGAATATGGAGACACTCCCAAATCCAGCAGTGCGAGGCCTTCAACCACTGAAAACAAAGAAATACAAGTTCACTCAGACTTTAGAGACAACAGCAAATGGTCATAAACTAAAATGTCAGATATTCCTAGGACCAAGGAATGCCTGAGTTTATCCCTTCACCTCAGGTCAAGCAAGTGGCTGAAGGTCTTCATTTGAAAAAAAAAATCTCAGGACTATACATATGTAAGAAATTCTCAAAGAATATGTCACATACACACACACACACGTGAAATTTTCAAGAATGGAGAATTCTTCCACACAAAGCAGTTCTTTCCATCATGAGCTATGCCCATTAACACAGAAGAAACTGTAACTTCTGAGGTTAGAGAAATGCCTTGGCAATTAAGAGCTGCGTACTGCTCTTGGTCCCCAGTTCAGTTCCCAACACCCGTGTCCAGCAGCTCACAACTGCCAGTAGCTCCAACTGCAGAGGACACATCCCCCTCTTCTGGCCTCTGCCTTAGCATACACACACTCCTACAAAGACATGCATATATGCACATAATCTAAAAAATAAAACTAAATAATTAAAAAAAAAACTATAACCTTCTTCTACCTCTCTGTGGTCTCCACCAACCCTAAAGCATTTCTTCTATGCATAGTCTACCCTATTCCAAAGCACAACTAACAAATCAGCAACAGATTTTAAAAAACAGATTTTCCAGGTTAGTGAAAGTCGCTCTCTTGTGTTACCTGTTTCAGTGACATTTACGTCATTTTTCTACAGAGTAAGATATACTTTTTAGCTGTGTTCCTTTAATTCTAACCTTATACGGGATTTGGAAGATGGAAATTGAGCTATTTGGGGGGGGGGGTTAACTAGGTTTTTGTTTTGTGGCAGAATGTTTACATGTAGGAAAGATTGACCTCAAGTTCGCAATCCCCTGTCTCAGCAGCCCCCCACCAAGTGTTGGAATTATAGGAGCTGGCCATTAGGCCCAACTAAGATGATACTTTGTTGGCCTCAAACTTCTGGTGCTGCCAAGAATCACCTTAAGCTCTTTAACTTTCCTGCCACCACCGCCCAAGTTCTAGAATTATAGGCAAACACCACCACGTCCAGCTTAAAATGTTTGTTTTTGGTTTGAGGGTTTTTGGGTTTGGTTGGTTTTGGTGCTATGGACTTAACTTGGGAACTTGTGCATACTAGGCAAGCACTCCACTATGCTATATCAGGTACACAGAATAATTTTTGGTTTTTTTATGCAAGGTCTCACTATGTAACTCTAGCTGACTTATAATTCACTATATAGCCCAGGCTGGCCTCAAACTGAGAGACCCACTTGCCTCTGCCTCCCCAGTGTTGAGATTAAAGGCGTATGCTACCATGCCTGGCCCCAAATGATAATTCTTAAAGTAGATTACATTAGGAAATAATTTATCAAGTGCCTGATACAATATATTCAGTACAGCACTGAGAGTAATAATTTTTCTTTATCTTCCGTGTATGGGTGTTTTGTTTGTGGATATGTCTGTGCACCACATATGTGCCTGATTCTGATGACGCATCAGACCCTCTAGAACTGAGTTACAGATTGCTGGGAGCCAACAAGTGAGTTCCAGGAATGGAACCTGGGTCCTCTGGAAGAGCGGGCAGTGCTCTTAACTGATGAGCCATCTCTCCAGTCCCACTTAATAAAAACTGAAAATAATGCCAATATTGATTAACGGAGATTTATTTAAATATGTATTTACTGATATACTAATATATATGCTGACATATTAGGCATTAAGACTATATTGTAAATAACTGAATAAATAAATAGGCGGAAGAGAAAGACATGCTCTCCTTATAGAATGCTCAGCATCAAGTGTAGGAAGCTAGGCAGCAGGACAACATGCAGAGCATGCAGGAGGATGAGCTCAACTCAGGGCAAAAAGCGTAAACAAGTCATCAGCTGACTGACCCACAGAATGGTTCTGAAAGCAAGAATCATTTGCAAATGCTAAAGTCAGGGGTAGAAGTATGAAAAACAAAGTACTTTCAAGGGGAAAAGGAATACTTTCATGTAGGCCTTACATTCCCTGCTTTAATCAGGTGATCCATTAAAACATCAATATGTGAGCTATATTAATTACCAAGTATCTCAGGATTCACTGATGAAGTGATGAGAAGAATTCTGTGGTCCTCATGCCAACAATGTGGTAGAATAACAACTACAACAAAAAACTAACAAAAACCCAGAACCTCCACCTAATCATGGGAAAGCATCAGGCAACCAAAAATGGCAGGTACATAACTGTCCAGTACTCTTAAAAAAATAAATCAAAGGAAGAGTCCCAGACGGGTAGTCACTAAGGAGATGTAACCACTAAATGCAAAAGGAGGTCATGGATTGAACATTAGGCCAGGAACTGGACAACAGGGACGCAGCACAATTCTAAGAAGGTATATACACTAATAGTACTAACTGACCGAAGCCACGATATTAAGTATATTAGGTAAACTGTAAATAGAAACTTTATTTTTGCAATTCTGTGTGTGTGTGTGTGTGTACACACATGTGCTTTGAGTACCTACTGAGGCCAGGAAAGGTTACCAGAGCTAGAGTTACTGGAGTTTATAAACAACCTGATGTAGATGCTGGGATCCAAACTCCAGTACTCAGATACACCAATAAATACTATATGTGTGTATTAAAATGTTTTAAAAACATTTATATGTTTGTTGGGTTTTGTTTTGTTTTTTTTTTTTTTTTTTTGAGATAGGGTTTCACTGTGTAGCCCTAGCTATCATGAAACTCATTCTGTAGACCATGGTGGCCTTGTACTCACAGAGATCTGCCGGCCTCTGCCTCCTAAGTGCTGAAATTAAAGGTGTGTGCACCACCACCTGCCTCAATAAGAACCCTTAACTGCTGAACCATCTCTCCAGTCCCTTTGCAACTCCTCTGAAAACTGAAATATTTCAGGGTTGGCAAACTGGCTCAGTTAATTAGGTTATTACTGAAAAGACTGATGACCTGAGTTTGATCATCAGATCCTAAAGTGAAAGAAAGAACAGTCTCCCTCAGCCCAGCAGTGGGGACTACACCTTTAATCCCAGCACTCGGAAGGCAGAGGCAGGTGGATCCCTATGAAGTTGAGGTCAGCCTGGTCTACAGAATGAGCTCCAGAACTTCTCTGTCTCAAAAAACAAAAACAAAAAACAACAACAAAAAGCTACAGATCTATGTTTACTGAAGGAAATCTGCCCACAAAATGCTAAGAGAAAAGCTAGAAGTAATACAGCACACAAAATATAACACAATTTTATTAAATGTTTAAAGAAATTTTATTAACATCAACTACACAAAAAGAATGGGCTTCATTAGGACATTTTATACATGTAATACAAACACATGAGGATTTAAAGTTGAAGGCTAGCCTGGGCTACACTGTAAGATTCTCAAAACAAACACGGAAGGAAGAAGGGAGGGAGAAGGAAGGGACAAGAAATACCTGGGAAAATAAATATTAAGATGCTTTAAACTGTGTATTTAACCTAAAGAAGGAAACTATTTATAGTTACCAACATTTTTCCCCTAAGACAGGATTTCTCTGTGTAGCCCTGGCTGCCCTGGAACTTGCTCTGTAGACCAGGCTAGCCTCCAACTTAGAGATCCACCTGCCTCTGCCTCTCCAGTGCTGGGATTAAAAAAGCCTGATTTTTGCAAGATAATTTTAACTGGGGATCGCAAGACACATTATTCAGGTAAAGACTCTTGTTGCCAAGTCCGATGACTTGAGCTCAATCCTAAGAACCCAAATGGTATAAGAAAACCACCAACTCCCACAAGTTGTCTTAACTCTACGAGCAAGTGTATGTGTGTGTACACATATGCACACACACGGAGCAAAGAAAATATATAAAAATTTACAGAGGCAACTGTAACTGGTCCTTTCTACGAGGACCAGGAAAAAATATCCCTAAGGAGCAGCAGAGAGGTCGCTCTGTAAGACGGCTGTGAAACTCTCAGTAATAGCTTTACTGGAGACCAAGAAAAGGATTCATTAACCCACTGCACATGACTTCCCTCAGCATAGGCCAAGGGCATCTGATCACAGCAGTAGAAGCAACACTTGGGAGTCAGACAGTATAAGGCTGTCTGGAAACAGCAGGCTTCACATGCCATCTAACCCAGAGAGAGGTTTTCAACAAGCACCTTTCGTGCAGGAGTAAACTCGAGTATTCTCTGGCAAGTGCCTAGAATGTGGCTCTGGCAACTGGTGATATATATACATCATCATATTATTTCATGGATAATATCTGGGGGGAAAGTCAACCTCATGTAAGAACATTTATAAAAACACCACTCTTTATTGTAATATTAAGATAAGTAAGAAAGGCATAAATTCAGAATAGTTTTTTTGTTGTTGTTGTTGTTTTGTTTTTGTTTTTCAAGATAGGGTTTCTCTGTAGCTTTGGAGCCTGTCCTGGAACTAGCTCTTGTAGACCAGGCTGGTCTTGAACTCACAGAGATCCACCCACCTGCCTCTGTCAGAGGACAAGCTGAAGGTGAAGGAGTCAGTTCTCTCCTTCCAGCTTGAACAACCTCAGACTGTCAGACTTTACCCACTGAGACATCTCGAGAGTTCCCTTATTCTTCCAAAAGAGTTTTCCTGCTCCATTTCTGCTACCATCCTGCCGAGGAAAAGCCAGACACTTCATGGCCACATTCAGCCACACGGCATCGGTAAGAAAGGAAGCACTTGCAATCAACCAAACGGCCTGGGAGAGTTGGTACGAGGCATTGCCACTTACAGAGGAACCAGCGCTTCTGCCCAATGGTCATCCTCAATAACTCTGGACACTGGTCAGCGAGCAGACGAGAGCTGCCGTCACTGACAGCATATGACTGCTTTTCTACAAAGTTCTGGAGAAGGAAAGCTCCCTAAGCAGTTTGCCAGCCTGAAGTCCAAATGCTTTAGAGGACTGTTTCAACCAAACAACAATTAAATATTTTTAAGAAGCAAAACTGAGTAAAAACCCAAAGAACTAATAAGCTTTAAGCTGTCCTTTCTCAT